GATACAGATAAATCCCGGTCCCGGGTAAATAACGAGTTCACAAGCGACAAGAACACAACAATTAAACTAAGTTTATTATATATTAATAAATTATAATAAAACACTAAATTTTAGGTAGAGTTGGTTTAAAAAAACTATGCAAAATTTATAACTATAGAACGGAGTAAGTTTAGATTATAGTATATCGCTTTTAGTTAGCTCTCAGCTTGTACTAAAATATACTTTTTATATGTTGTTTAGTATTATATGTTATATAGTGGTAAGTGAAAAAAAAATAGTACACAAGAAAAGAGTTTCTTCCTCTTGATAGAGACTGTAAGTAGTGTCGAATCTTCGTGATAATAACGGATTAATCAGTATTTATCCGCAGCTGGATATATTTGGTAATGGGCTGATCAATTTTAAAGAAAACATTGCTAATTGCCCATAACGTACCTAATCTGCTCTTTTGCTGGTAATTTTCTTTTCTGCTTAGCAAGATTTTCTGGTATTTTTATATTATCTTGTATTTATTTCAATTGTTTAAGATAAAAGAGTTTGTAACATATACCGATAAGTTATATGTATGTTGTGGTAAACTTGTTAAATAAATAATTAAATAGACTTAAATTAGTTATTAGTCTTAAAACTATATCGTAATGATAAATGATGTCTTTGTGCAGAAACAATTTTATTATTAGTTTTAAAAACTTGGTACTTTGAACATATTTTTTTCCATATTATTATCTAAGTTTTAAATACTTAAGGGTTAAAATAATACCCGACTATAAAATAAACACAGTTTATCGGTAACAGGTGAATAGCTAACAAGCACTTAAAGTTGAACAGTTTGAAGTGTCAGGTTAATCACTAATTCACTAACGAGAGGTTAGTTAACCCATAACCTCAACCTTGAATTATCAATCAACCTGCATTAGTGATTAGTTAATTGACAATCGAATGTAAGTTTTTTGTTATGGGATAAACGAGCAGGTTACTTTGAGTAAAATGATAACCACCCATGGACACCTGTAACGCCGGGGGATAGCGGGTGTGTTGCCGACTTTTAGGGAATGGTACGCTCTTTTCGTGAAGTAACCTAAGTCAAATCGTTTTGGAAATACATCTACTGGCAGCTGGTTCCACAAACAGGTGGTGCGTGGCAGAAAGTGTCTTACTCCCCATGATAAATGCGGTAGAAGATTCCTCGGGAACCAAAAACTCTAGGCAAAGCATCAAGCTATTTGGAAAGAGCAGGGTCGCCGATGATTCGAGCCGCCCTGCGTTCGATGCGATCAAATGGAAGGATCTGTTACTGGAGAGCTCCCGCCCAGAGGTGCTAAAAGTACGCCATGAGGGGCTGAATTTGCGCTTTATAAATACCGTTTGTAAGGCTTTAAGGGAGCGGATAATTACTTGTAAATTATGATTCGGGCCTATTAAAATTTGTCGTAAAAACTGTGAAAAAAGGGGGTACTGGCAAAAACCACAAAAACAGTTATTATCAATTTTGTAAGTTTTTATCAATGCTTACAGCATGTTATATTTAATGTAGGTAACACCTGAGTATAATGTTAGTTAAGAGTAATGCCACGTATCAGCTTTGAGGAACCTCTGTACATATCGCCTGAGGGAAATATAGAGTTGCAAAATATAGACAGTATATTAAAAATAATCCATTATAATTCACGAATATATCGGATATTTTTTGTATGTAAAAGTAAATGATACACTATTAATATACAATATTCTTTAACAGCAATTCAAAAGAATGCATATATCGTTGGAGCTGTCACTCATATAGTGACAATGTACACATATCTTACAGAAAATTAGTATGGTTTTAATATTTAACGATTACAGATAAATGTATCAAAAACAGAATTAAACAACATTGAGGATATTCTAATTCGTATGTTTCGTTTTATTGGCTCTTGACAAGTCACAATCTTGTCAAGAGCCCTGTAAAATAGGTCAAATGTCATACCTAAAATAGTTTGACAGGTCTTGAAACTAGAGATAAGTTTGACGGTCTGAAATTCGTGTCTAATCATAGTTATACTACTTGACTCTGAATAAATTTTAGTGTATTTAATTTATATATAAATACGATTGTTTGTCTACATAATAATAATAATAAAAAATTGTTAAATAAAAATTTATAAAGTTTGATCCCAGTGGCACCTTTGTGTACCTTTGTATTGCGATACTTATTCGTTGAGCAAGGAAAGAATACATAAGAAAAGGTTAAGAATATTGTAAATACTGTATATTTAGGTGTTGGAAATAAATAGTTTGTCTAAATATTCTAAGGTCTATGGTCGTTTGATCTCACTATTATGGTATGTGATGTGTGGCTAACATCTTTGACGGAGCGCCGCGGTCATTGGGCGATACCTCACTTGACTTTCGGATAGTTTTCGTTAAGTATAACATATTTGTCACTAACGTTACTTTGTCTGTAAGATATTTTTAAATTTTGTTGAGGGTAAAGCATAATTTAACACGACCGAACACCACATTTGATTTTATTCTCTTTAGTTTTGTTACGCCCTCAAATTTTTTAATTTATTAGTGAGCGTTTGTGCGTATTTAGAACTATTCCTAGGCAAAGTAGATGTTTAATATCAGTCTATCCCACTGTGGGCCCTCACCCCCCAGGGGGGCAATTTGATTGTAAAGAGGGGCAATTCGAAAATGGACTCGATGTTTTTCATTGTTTTGTTAACAATTTCCTAGTGATTTCTACTTAAACCTGTCATTTAATTTTCTTAAGTGAACAATTTATTTTTTATTATTAAAATTTATGTATATTACATAGAAGAGAAAAGAAGAGAGAGAGTGGCGGAGAGTTTACTGACAGTTCTTCTGTTCTGTTCTACTTGTTTTGAGAACTAAAAGTAAATGTAATAGAAGCATTTAATGTATATTTCTTTTTTGACGTTCATAAGTGTACAATTTTACATGGTGTTACCTATATGAGTTAATGATTTTTGACTTTGACTTTAGAAGGGGCACGGCACAAAAAGGTTGGGTTAGAAACACTGGTCTAACCTCTTATTGTTCACATAATTTTCTCCTTATGCTTACGACTGACAATTGTGTGCCTTTCACATTTAGAATATACAGGAACGAGGTATGCCGTTCTTTGTGGTACATTAATTATCATGTTATTACAGAGAGCACAAATTTTCACCTTTGTTATTAAATACCCTGTAATAATGCCCGAAGGTTGCTTGGGCCAGGAGTGGCGTAAAGGAATAGTTTAGATGCTGACAGCTAGCTAATACTAAGATGCGATGGACCATGTGTGCAAACATGTAATATGCCACTTTCTTACAGTTGGAGTGTTGTGTGCATATGGATAGTTTAATATATTGGTATTTGGTGCACAGCCGCAATTTGAATTACACATTTTTTAAGTTAGGTATCCTCCTTTTGGCGCGATAAGGAAAAATTATGAGAGTAAATTTTTAGGGTGCGTACACACACCGTCACAAAAAACCAACACCCTGAAGTTAGCTATTGTCTTTTCTATTTTTAGTGTAGTTTTTTCTACAAATGTAAAATAACATTCTTGAAAAGAGATTTTTATCTTGCTACGATAAAGAAGTGTGCATAGGTGCACACAGGTTTTTTTTTTAATAGGGGGCAAACGGGCAGGAAGCCTGATGATAAGAGATACACATGGGCACTCTCAATGCCTTGAGCTATTTAGAATTGGTACGCTCTTTTCTTGAAGGACCCGAGGTGATACGGGTTCAATTTTGTAGTCTGCCTCGACGTGCGATAATGAAACTCATCTGCATTTATTAATCCGAACTACTTCTCTGATCACCGTCCATGGTAAATGCGGTAGAAGACGCAGATAGTGTCAAGTGGAAGGAGCCAAGCCAAAAGGCTCTCTACGTGTAAAATTGGGAATGCAGTACAAAGCATGCATTTAGTGAAGTCATGTGAAATTTCCAAAGGATCGACCGCTTTGTCACGAAGTGAGCAATTGTCTTTGTGACGTATTATTATGGAAACGGTTCAAGTCAATTGTCAATTGTTATCATAATTAAGAGACCAAAGCTATTCCCGTGCGTCGTGGATTCTATGTAGTACGTTGGATGATGTATGGAAAGCGGCAGTCTTCGACCCGCAATTGTTATCAGGTGTAATAAGCTGCTCTTCTACTTATAATAATCTTTACTTATTTCGGTCCATTGTTCTACTAGATGGACACCTGGTGAGGGTGGAGATAAGGCGTTGGATGTACCGCGGGGAACCGATTGTACTGCCCATTTAGACATATTATTTATTACAAACTAAAACAGAACACATATAAACACACAAAATAACAATAAGCAAAGAAAAAAAAATATATAGTGAGAGATATATAAAAAATAAATATTTTTTCCTTTTCCCATTCGGTTCGTTTCAAGCGTGTAATGCGTGTGTGCTGTGGCTGTAATTGGCCCTGGCTCAGCATTATGCTGAGGAGCAGAATGTTCCACAGCGCTGGTTATTCTGCCAGATACCACATCAGCTATTTTGCGCTTGGGTCGTAAAAAAAAGATAAAAAAAATGTGTGGCACTCGGGGACTGCCGCGGTAAAGGTATTGCATAGCTTCTATTGCGGGCCTTGAGCGTGAAGATGAATAATACTTAGTAAAATAAAATCACATTAATAATAATAATATTAGTAAAAGTTAGCAATGCAGAAATAGCCAAGCTAACAAGTACAACTGTTTTTCATTATAACAAGTCTAATATAAAGCATGGTTATTTTACACAAAGGCCTTTTGCGATTTTCAATACTGAGTTTTCGTACGATATTGGCTCTATAGAGATCTAAGAAGGAATAATAAATGATAAATATTCACAATCTGACATTATGTTGACAATATTCCAAACGTTTTTATTTCTCTTATCAATATATTAAACAAGCTAATATTTAAAGAAACGTTTTTATTTCTTTGATACAGTGTCTTGTCATCGTTGATAACGTCTTACATAACATTTAGTTTATCAGTAATATGGCAACTTTGAAAAATGTAAGTATCTAATATAAGTAAACTAAGATTACTCTAAAGCGGGTTTAAAACTGTTATATTTATTTTATTGATATTCTTGGATTACTTTAGTTACTGTATTATGCAAGCACGATATTCATGTTTGATTTTCTTATTTGGTGATTACGTCAACAGTAATTATTTACTTTTTACACATATTACCCACACATTGTCTATCCTTGTAAACGAAATGCATTTTCGAGGATTCCTACAAAATATTAATACGTTTATGTAAGGTGGGTGGACCATAGAAGGCCACTGTAACGAATAAACAGTTTTTATTCATTAATTTACTAGATAAATAAAAGAAACAAATTATTAACTAACACTTTGTTTTATTGTGCAACATATAAATTGTTTTTTTTTATTGTAGACGTTATCACTATTTCTTAAACTTAACTTTTATAAAGCTCTTCTAAACGGCCTTGCAAGGAACAGTGCTCCATACAAGGCCAATATTTTAAATCAGCCGTTCAACTTAAAACTAGAATTGTAATAATCAAAATATCCGCTTTTACTAAAACTACATAAAAAGCTCTTTCACTTAAACGAAAAATCAAATGCTTAACATATTATAATCTTGTTTAATAAACTCAACGAACATTCCTTGAACATTATCGTATAACTAAGAACTTATTAATGGATATTATTCAAAAATTATAGTAATGACTATTATTTCGATAACAAAGGTTACCAATTCGTTTTGCAATGAAATTATATAATTTTTTTTTTTTTTGGCCTTCTAATGGGTCCGTTCTTTGTAAGGGCCAAAATGTTCCTAAGAAGGCCAAACTAACAATTATCATTTATGACAGCCTTTTTTACAGACTAAGTACTCTAATTATTACGAACTTAAAATGGTAAAGTCAGTCTTGAAGTCAGGAATATTTAAAATCAACCATTCCTAAGATTAAAAAAATGAAATTATGATAAAACTAGTTTTTTCAACCGCAGTCCGCCCTCGTGGACTTCACGATATCGCGCGCTTTGGAAATAAACTTATAAACTAAAAAGGATAATAATTTATTTTAATCACAATCTGAACATAAAAATAAGATCCTTTTTAGTGAGACCAATACACTCCTCGTGATACCACTTTTGACATTCGCTACATTGCCTCATGTCTTCGATTTTACACTCGCAATGCGTGACAGTACCATTTTCTTTCTTCACCTTTGTTTTCTTTTTCAGCAGTTCTTTGGAATCATTTTTATTGATGTTTTTCTTTTTTGTCGTCGCTTACTTTGTACATTTCATTTTTTCTTACTCCCGGTACGTATTTCTAACTAAAACGAGTGTTATAGTTCGTAAATGTTCCTAGTGAGACCCATGTACTCTGAGGCCAACCGTCAAATTTTTGATTGGCTTTATAAGGAACCACCGGCTTTTATAGGAACACTATCGATATTTTTAACTGAAACCAAAGTAAAATTAATTTTTTTTCTTTAGTATTATAAAAAAATCCATATATGACAATTTACAGTAAAAGAATGCGATAATAATGGGATATTCATATAAAAACTTATTTTTGCTGAGCGGCAAATTACAATTTTAACATCGATACCGAGTCTAGTAGTGAGGGACCGCACTGACAAAATAGAACGGAGCGACTCGTCACCGCGTCTGTGTCCTTGGGTTTGATGGAGCTTTGTGTAAATGGAAGGAATTTGTCATCACATGACTATAACTATGATTTTTGATTGGTTGGAGCATGGGCTTCATGGTCCACCCACCTTACTATTACTTTTTAGAGCTCTGCTTACTTTTGCTAACAAGAGGGGAGGGGGGGATATATTGTAGGAAATCTGCTTACGTAATACTTGAAAGGCCCCCATTTTCTAAGACATAAATTGTGTGTATGTGTGTAAAATTCGTATTTTTACACACAGATAAGATAGTAATCTACCAACACAATAGTAATATATATAACCTATGTTTTTCAGGTGACCTTCAAGGCTCGTGGTTTAATGCCACCAGTTTTTACACCACTCAAACAAGACCTTACCGTCAACTATGATGTCATACCAAAATATGCCGATTTCATCAGCAAAAGCGGAATTAAAGGAGTCCTGGGTATGGCTTTTTAAACAAATCTTTACATATATAATTACGCGTGTATGTCACTGAACTCCTCTTAAACGACTGGACTGATTTGAATGAATGTTTTTGTATGCGTTGGGGTGTTGCCCTGGATGGTTTAGCTCCACAAATTAGCCCAGGCTGCAGTCGATATCTAGGTTATTTATCTATACTGCAATATCATGTAATACAAAGTCTGTCGGGTCCGCTAGTATTATCTATTACCTTTTTCGCACTCCTCTACTGCTTCATTTAAGAAGAAGTTAAAACTCTTAATGTCTTAAGCCTTTTATCTTCCTTGTTTTTTTTATAGCTGCTAGTTTGTTTGTCGTTCTCCTAATTTATACATTTTGTGTTATGTTTTGCCTTGTTTTACTTTAATTTTATTTTTACTGTATAGAGATGTATCTGTCCTACATGAGTCTTCCTTTAGTCTGTACACCTACAATCAACAGTTTGTAGATTGGTCGAAGATCTGACCTTCAGGTTGGTGAACCCGCAGAAGAACACCTAAATCTGAACACCGGGAAGTATGGCGTCCTCACTCCTCTCTTAGCATCAAACAACAGAAGCAAGTCACAGCTGATTCAACTGGCCAGTAGCTTAGACAAGTCTACTTCTCTTATTTTGAATCTTCTGTCTCATTCACTTACTTTTCGTTTTAAAAAAAAAACCTTTTTAGAAACCTGATTCTGAAGAAATACAAATAACGCTATTTAGTGCAGCGGCTAAAAAAAAGGTTAAAAAGAGCTCATTGGTCTACTCTAGCCCCCTTTTTTTTCTTTTCCCCCCCCCCCCCCGGCCCGCGAAGGGAGAAAAAGAAAAAAAAAAAAAAAAGGAAAAAAAGGGGGGTGTTTGGGGGGGGGGAGCCAAAGGGGGTTGGTGGGGGGGGGGGGGGGGGGGGGGGGGGGGGGGAGGGGGGGGAAATCCCCACCCCCCTTGGGGTTTTCTTTTTTCCCCCCCCCCCCCCCCTGGGTTTTTTTTTTTTCTTTTTTTTTTTTTGGGGGGGGGGGCCCCCCCGGTGGGGGGGGTTTTGGGCAGTGTGTAAACAGTTTTCCCATTTGTTGTTTGAAAAAGTTTTTGCAAACAAAGACAAGCATACAAATCTATTTATTTATAAAATACATAAGCCACAATATATGTAAAAATAGAAACCATTAGTTAGTGGTGGTCCGTGGGTGGTGTCTGAGATTAGAGTCCCAACAAAAAAATTCGGGCAGGTTATGCAGAGAGAGAAAATAAATCTTGTATCAATTTACAGTTGGGGGTACAGCAGGAGGACACATGTGCCTTTCAATGCCAGAAAAGAAGAAATTAGTAGAAGAATGGGTGAAAGCAGCAAAAGTTAGAGATCTTCACGTGATGGTGCAAGTTGGGGGTGCATCTATGCCTGACGTACTTGAAATGGTAGATATATTAATTTATTATATTGTCTAAAACAGTCTCATTGTATTCCTTCAAAAAGAGCACTCTTTCTGCGGCATATCACGAGTTGGTTGTTAAAAAATTACTTGTCAAACTTTGCTAAATTAAAACTTTAATTTCACTAGTAATTTTAATAAAGTACCTGGAAGTGGCTCTCCACCTAAGGCTCTCCTTTTCTCCTGCACCTGTTTCATATTCCTTTTAGCGTCCCTTCCCGGCTTAGCAAATGTAGATTTTTTCCTTCATATTGTGGAATTTTTTTGTTCTATAATCAATAGTTTTTGCAACGCATGCGATGAAAGATATTTTATATGCATTTATTTACACTTTGGGTAACATTACTGTAGTTCTAGTAGGGATCTTAATGTTTTTCTTGTAATTAAAATAACCTGTATTAATCAGTGATAACGTAGCATTTAAATGGTGAAATAATTTTTAAAATCGGTCCAGTACTTTTGGAGCCAATTCGTCACATACATATTACTTACATACAAATCTTTCCTCTTTATAATATTTGTGTATCTTACACACATAAACAATTTTTTGTGTGAAATAGCGTGACAATTCTGTTTCCCTACAGGGTTCAAAATCGTACATTTAATATCAAGGTAGGGAATCACTCTTTTTACAGTCTATTACTCGTACTCTATTACGTAGGAGACAAAATAAAGGGCAGTTAAAAGATACATTTCTTACTATTTATATCTATTTTCAGGCTGATTTCTGTGCCAAGAGTGGCGCGGACTCCATTCTAACGTTACCAGAAACATACTTCCGACCTCAGAACGTAACCGATCTCGTGGACTATGTGGAGACTGTCGCAAAATCTGCCCCCAATCTTTCCATTTTATATTACCACATACCACACATGAGCAATGTTATAGGTACTAAAGACTTACTTAAATTATACAACTTTAAAATAGGCGTTACGAGTTTAGCACTCTTGGCCACGAAGATAATCTCTGTGTTCCACGTCGATTTTAGGACCTCATTCCGTAAAGGAACATCGTGAGGAAACCACACGTGAATGTACAGTACAAGCGTGTGTTACCGATCAGCAAGACAATGTTGGCCTAGCGGCTTCAGCGTGCGAATCTCATCCCTGAGGTCGTAGGTTCGATCCCCGGCTGTGCACCAATGGACTTCATTTCTATGGGCATTGTGCATTTAATATTCGCTCGAACGGTGAAGGAAACATTGTGAGGAAACCGAAAAAGTCGACGGCGTGCGTCAGGCACAGGAGGCTGATCACCTACTTGTCTTTTAGATTAATGAATGATCATAAAACAGATACAGAAATCTGAGGCCTAGAACTAAAATGGTTGTAGCGCCACTGATTTATTTTATTTTATAGTTTTCAATCCCGTGCCTAGATGCTCGCTAAGAAATAATTCACTTCCAAAAAATCGTAAACTTAACCTTTGGCTAACATTATTTTATAAAAGAATATGAACCGAACCAAGAAAAGAGCGTACCAATTCTTAAAAGGCGGGCAGCGCGCTTGCGAGCCTTCTGGGAGTGGGAGTGTACATGGGCGGCAGTATCACTTAAGATCCGGTGAGCCTCCTGCCCGTTTGCCTCCTATAACATAAAAAAAAATTGTAGGTAGAAATAAAACTCTAAACGTTTACAAAAATGAAGGTATTTAAAAAAAGACACGATTCGATGTAAAATTAGCAATTGCATTAACAAGATGTACCTATTTATAACCTTTTAGATACCACCTTCGTAGCTAAGTGGTTAAAGCCGGATGAGATTAGGGTCATGGGTTCGAAACACTGTGTCATATTAGGACTTTTTTCTAGATCATCTCGTCTTGGGGTCTTCCTTGTGAAATACCAATTGTTTAAAGAAAGTATATACCTTCCTCAAAGGCCGGCAACCCACTAAGATGCGTGACCATGGGCTGATGACTGCCCTGAAATAATTCGCCCGCCATAAAATACTTTTTTTACGTTATAGTAAATATGCCAGCGTTCGTCTCCGAAGCCACCAATCGTATACCCACATTTAAAGGCATCAAGTTTTCCTCCAATGATCTAAGCGAGGCGGCTCAGGTGTTACGGAAGCTTAAGGATGACCAGCAGATTTTCTTGGGAACAGCCACTGTAAGAACTTCTTTTATTAATCACACATTTGCTGGGGACATACAACGGTATACACCGTTGTGTGTACATATGCAGCGGTTGTCTCTAGGTATAAACACTATATTATGTACACTAGTATATTATATTATGTACTCTAGTATATTATATTGTGTACACTAGCATATTATATTATGTATATACTTTAGGTAAGCTAAGAATACGCACAACGGACCCTATATATAGAGTCTAAAAATGCGGACAGACTTACATGTTATTAAAATGACAAGTTTTAAACATAAAACTTTAATATTCATTTTATTTCATTTATATTTTTAGTTACTTGCACCAGCGGGTCTACTCGGCCTAAAGTCCAGTATTGGAACAGTGTACAACTTCATGCCAAAACTAGCACAAGAGATACAAGAAGCGATAGAACAATCCGATGTGGAAAAGGCCAGAAAACTACAGGAGAAACTCAGCCTGGTCATTGAAGCTTTAGTGCCAGAAGGTATTGTTATAAAAAAAATGTTACAATACATATTTCTTAAATCGCAAGAAAGCCTATATATAAACGTACTACAATTCTTATTTGGTAGTGTAACTTTCATTAATTTGAAAAAAGACATGAGTTGAATAACAATTAATTTGTTAACTGTTGATTATAGTGTGTTTATAAATAAGAGAAAAATATCTCTCACAAGTAAGAGAGTGTATATATTTACAGGTGGTTGGGTGCCAGTAATGAAAGCGGGTATGGAAGTAGTGACAGGTATAGAAGTTGGTCCTGCGTCATCACCACAGAAGCCCGTAACAGAGGATGGAAAGAAGAGAATAGAAGAGAGATTGCGAAAACTTGGAATTATTTAAAAAATATATTGTTAAACACTGTATTACAGCCAACTTACTTATAAATAATAAATCAGTTTTATTACACTAAAATGCTCATATATTTCTTTTCATCACAGCGTTAACACAATTTGAAAGACAGAGCCAAAAGAGTACTTTAACTTTTTCAGATTAGGATTTACTAGCCTCTTTTTTTATAACATTTCTTCAATGTTAATTATAAAACATTAAAGCCGATTTTAAAACTAATAAATTCTGGATACGTGTAAAATTTAAGGAATCAAAAAAATAAATAAAAATATGTGTAATTTTCGCACGATTTCTACAAACTCTGTATTGGTCTTTACCAATACAGAGTCATTCAGTCTATGACTTCCGTACTATATCAAATCGTGTGTGACATACAAATCATAGAGCGCTAAGTCTCATCTCAGAATATTACCATTTGTGTTGTCGTCTACGCAATCAAACAAAAATTACACGCCAAATTCTACACCTCCTACTTCAGGTTTCTTGAAATCAGTTTAATATTCTACTGGATCATACAATATATCACCAATACATATTTATGATGAACATAGTACATATATATTATAAAAACCTCCTTAAATTGTGATTACAAATCCAATTAAACATCTTGTCAATTGATCTGAGAGGGTTGTGGTTCCTCCCAGGGGGTTTCTAAGAATAAATGCTTTACATAAACACACGAGAGAAATGTACGTGAGGATTCTTAACACCCCGAAAAATATATCTATATAGAGCAGATCACACAAATATCTTTATTTGAGCAATTTTTTAATAGGCAAGTAAAGTGCCACATAATCTTGGCCGGTAAGAGCGTCGCTGTTATGGATATTAGTATTGCCAGTAAATAAAAATTAAGCATTATAAGGGGAATAATTTGAAGTCATGCAGGCTAACTTTATATTTTTTTGGAATATCTTAATAAAACAATGTAACTAGTACGTACAAAATAAAGTTCTAGGTAAAAATAAATGTGACACAAAGTTAGGAACAACTGACGTGATAGCATGTTGTATTTGAGAGCTAACTGACAATGTCAGTCTGACATTTCAAAATGGCGACGGTAGTACCAATTTCAGCCCCCGGCCAAGAAAAGCATGTGGCACTGTATATGATGAGCCTGTGTCTACTAACGTGACTTACTCGTAATTATCGAAGTTAGGATCAAACTTGTAGTATACCCTGACAGGTTAATGAAGTAAACTCGACTGCTAAGTTTATAAACAACTCCATCTTAGCCACTTGGGCCTTCGGCCCAGACAGTCAGTTGTTGGACTATTCGAGGATCTTCTCTTGAGATTGAAAAAGAGCACAACATACTCCACAAACGTTTAGTACCTATACCAACACGAAGTTAGTAGGAGTGATTTATGTTTTCATTGCATGATGCATCGCTGTTGAACTTGATCTTTGGTCATGGTAGGACTTTCAGCCAAAATGAAGGCACGTACCAATTGCTATATACAGTCAGTGAATGATGAGTGAATGATGTGAAGGGATTTGTAAAACAGTGTTTTTATTTGTATCCTCTGAACAATGTATATGTGTAAAGAATGTCTGAGTGTCTACATAATAACAGACATTTTAACCTCTACAGTATATGTTTAAAATTATTGCATCATTGAACCAAAACGCATCAACAGCTCTTTATAATTCCCGAACGTACACCCCGCGAAACGCGTACAGTATCGCATTATATCATTTATAAACAAAATGTGTTAAAATAAATCGCGACGTTGGCAGCCGCAGATACGCGGATTTAATGTACACGCTACGATTTTCGGTACAATTTGCGTGAGCCCAATGTATGTGGAAATAGATGGAGATATGTTAATTTGTTCTATATTTAATTTATAGTTTAACCGTCGGTTAGAATACACTAAATATTTACGTAGAAACTTCGAGAGAAAAACATCGCTGTGATATTTAAACCTTCAGATGTCACTGAAGTATTTATGAACCAATTCGACTTAGGGTTTTTTTTAATAGAACAAACGAGGGAAAATGGGCAGGAGGCTCATCTGATGCTGAGTGATACCGCCGCCCATGGACACTCTCAATGCCAGAGGTCTTGCGAGTGCGTTGCCGGCCTTTAAAGTATTGGTACGCTCTTGTCTTGAAGGACCTTGATGTGCTCAGCAAGGCAGTACTTCACTCCGAGCCACCGCTTGCAATTGTATAAAGCGCAAATTCGGCCCCACATGGAGTACGGTTCTCACCTCTGAGCGGGAGCTCCCCACTACTAGAGAGTGCCTAAATGGCCGGCAACGCACTCGCGAGCCCTCTGACATTGAGATCATGGGCATTGATAGTGTTCATGGGTATCACTTAATTTCAGGTGAGCCTCCTGCCCGTTTGCACAATATTCTATGAAAAAAGTCTACGATTTATGTATGAAGATATTATTAATGAAATTTATCGATCGACTTTAGGCAAATATTTTTTTCCTGTTTTCGCAAAAATTTACCGAATCAATAAGTATAAGAACGGCTTATCGCATTGCTGAAATTCAAACAGTCTTGTTAAACTTAACCCTCTTTACTTTAATAAAAGATAGATATTAAACTTACTACCATCATATTAGAAATATACAAAGGATCAATAAATATACAGCAGGCGTACGTATTCGACAATTTCCTTCTTAGTGCCCCTCTCAGTGATATATCACGGCATTTTCTCACCTAATAAATAATACGTGTTCTTTGAAATGTGTATTTTGTGTGTAAGGACTTGGAAAATAATATAAGCATTAATGCACTAATATGATTTCGTTTTAATAAAGTTTATTAAAATTACCACGGGCGCTACCAATTTAGAGTTGGCCTCAGATTTCTGTATCTGATTCATAATTTGTCAATCTAATAGGCAAGTAGGGGATCAGCCTCCGGTGCCTGATACATGCCGTCGACTTTTTGGGTCTAAGGCAAGCCGATTTACTCACAATGTTTTCACCTTCACCGTTCGAGTGAATGTTAAATGCGCACATAGAAAAGAAAGTCCATTGGTGCACAGCCGGGGTTCGAACCTATGACCTCAGGGAGAGTCGCGTGCTGAAGCCACTAGCCCAACGCTGTTCATCAAAGTTTTGAAACTGGAATATAATTTTAAGATCTGTCATATTCCGCCAATAATTGTAAATAATTGCTAATGCTAAAATTGATAATATTTATAAAGAGAAGATTATTTAAAGTTCAGTTATACAACCATGCATGGACACTTTACCAAAAAAAAAACAGTAAAGTATAATATCATTTAATTTACATTTAATTTGATTTTTTGTGCTCCATCTCTGATTACCGTGATACTGCCAACCATGAATACTGCCGGAGGGCTCGCTAGTGCGTTGCCGGCTTTTAAAGAATTTCTTGAAGGACTCTAAGTCTGTTCGAATTGCACCTGAATGGTTGATAAACAATAGAAGAGTGTAGGACAGAGGTTTCAAAGATCAAAAGTATTTCTATAACATTTGCTTCATATCCCAATTATTTTATCATTTCCCTAAAATAAATCACATCATTGATCATGTCACGAAATTTCAATATACCAAGCATTGCGTAGAAATTTGAATATTATGATTTATTACAACTATTTGGGAAGCCAACAACGACCAGTCTATGTAGACCTACCACGTCAAATCTGGGGTCACATTCTGATACAAATAATGCGCAATATATCTTCGAGTGCGGTATACAGTTATTCCTATTTAAAAACATATAAAAGTATTAGTCTTTTCGGTAAGAAAGTGAATTTCTGTCCGTGCTATGAATCTATGGATTTTCTTTTATCTAAGTGTATAGTAGATTTAGTATCTTAAGTATTTGCTCATATCAAAAACATCGCAAAAATAATTAATTCCTGTAATAAAACAATTCACGATACGCAAGGTCGGTATAAGGTTCTATCTCAATTATCTGTTTTTAACAATAATTTAGATTAATTTATAACTTTTGAGACGTTTCGTAACTACGCCGTAAAGTGCGTAAGATGTTACAATGTTACAATTTTAAATTCAATATATTTGTCACCGTAAAATTGTAAACACCGTTAGTTTAATCTTTCTCACGAGATTGTGAACAGTCGAAAGATTTTGAACTCAATGACTACTTACAATTTAACGTATAATTATTCGGTAGATTGTAATCTATCGAAGTGAAACCGTCAAATTGTGAAACGGATCGCAGCTCGCGCGCTGATTGGTTGAACGGAATATGCCCCTAATATGTTTGACGTTCAATAGTTTACATCTACCGAATTATAATACGTTAAATTGAAAGCAGTAGTTGAGTTGACAATCTTTCGACGGTTTACAATCTCGCGAGATAGATTACAATCTAACAATGTTACAATTTTAAATTCAATATATTCATATTTTCGTTGTCAAATTCAAAAGATTTGGGGACAAAAACCCTGAATTTATCACACATAAATTTCCCATGATTTTTGGTACATCAAGACTTTAAGAAATATAAAACAAAACGATTAGATATCTTTAATATTGAATCCTAAGACTCTCTTCCGGTAGCTCAGCTCAATATATATTGGTTTATCTCCCCTTTATACAAATATTGCAAGAAATACCTTGCGTATGTGTCATTTTTGTTCCAATAAATCTTTAACTTAATACACTAGAGTCGATAGGATTGCGAAGGGAAGGATATTTGTGTATGATATTGTTTTGGGGCTAGTTAGAATTAAAAAAATAACGATAAAACTGCACTGTAAAGAGTATTTACACAAAACAAGGAATTAAATAATTATGGTTAAATTATTTCTTTGCCTTCAAAGTATAACAAAAGCTGACACAATCATGTTATATCATCCAAAATATATACATGTATAATGTATATATAACGTTAAAATTTCCAATTACTTAATTAGAAAATATTTAAGAATTCCCAAAGTATTTAGTTTACAATATTTTCTTAAAAGTGCCGTTCTCTCATCTCGACAATGTTCGAAAATTGTTTTTAAATACATAAATAGTTAATAATAAT